CCCCCCCATTGGTGCTTGGGGGGGGGGGGGGAGTCACTATATGGGGAACTACTCCCCCATTTGCCCAAACCCCATGCATCCAGATCCATCTCATACCCAGATTGCCCTGCTAAGTCTCACCCCTTGCACCCTAACAAGCCTCACCCTTTGCATTCAGTGCTCCCCTGCACCCAGACCCGCCCCCCAGCCAAACCTCATCTCCCTGCATCTGGACCCCAACCCTGCACCTAGACTGCCACACTTAAACCTCCACCCCCAAAAGCCATCTGCATCTGGACCACCATGACTAGCCCCCTGCATCCAGACTCCCTACCCACCAACCCAGCACCTGGACCTCCCCTGCTGAGCCCTACCACCTTCACCTAGACCCAGAGGAGTTGCATTGTGTCTGCAACAAGCCCATGTTCATTCAGGTTGCCCTCCACCCGGACTCCCCACCAAGCTTCCCACACAGAACCCTGCTACCCCACACCTGGCTTTCCCTATACTAAGCCCCTCCATACACGGATCCTGCTGGGCCAAGCCTGCCTGCCTTCACCTATTGTGCTTGACATGGAGGGGCAGGGCCCAGGGTGTTTCTGGGACAGTCCTCATCCTTGCACTGTATCAGGGTCAGGTGCAACTTTACCACAGAGCCCATGTTTGAGGGTGGGGGGTACAGGGTGATTTCCATCCTCTGTGTAGCCAGTGGCCCTGTGCTCCCCACTGCCAGTGTGGGGCCTCCACATTTATTTGTGTGCAGAATTCACATTTATTAAAATGTGCAGAATTTTAAAATATTAAGTTTAGTTTTAGTTTAGTTTTGGCACAGAGTACCCTCAGGAGTAGCAGCACTCCCTGATACTTCAAATCTCAGTAGTCAGTGTTTTAATACTAAATTTAAGTCTAAATTTCCCCAGAATGAACCTGGCTAATAAAGAGGAGGATTTATTCCAGTCCCAGTTTCATTACAGTGTAATATTCAGTGCACTGCATAGTTGAGAGCTGATGGCACAGAGCGTAGCAGAAGGCAGAGCCCACACTGAGCTCAAATTAAACACACTTTATCCAGAGAAACATGATTTTATTCCTACAACACATACTGTAAAGCTCACCCAACTGAAGAGAGTTCCTCAACAAACCAGCATGAAACTAAAAGATTATTAATTGAGCAATTAAATGCCTTATATATTAACTTGAAGTGGCTGCTGCTATCTGTCACAGAGAGAACCAGTAGAAAAAGAACAGATGAAGATTCTTTTCTAGCTAGACTTTAAACAGCCAACAAACCCAAACCTGTTGTTATGCAATAGTGCACTTTCCATTTATGCTAGATTTAAAATAATGCACTTTTCATCTGACGAAGTGATTTTTTACCCAAAAACACTTATGCCCAAATAAATATGTAAAGTCTGTATCACAAAAACGAGGAGTCCTGTGGCACCTCAAAGACTAACACAGCTACTCCTCTGAGACTTGTCACTTTCCATTGGCCTTTAACATCAGAGCAGCATAGCATGCTTAGCAAAACCAGAAAAATTATTTTCAACGTGGATAATATTTTTCTAAAAAAAAACCAAACAGGAACAAACCAGAAAATGTTATTTGTTGTAAATGTCATAAAAGAGAGAGAGAATAATTCCGAGTGCTAGAGAGGCAGCATGGTGGTGTGATTAGAGCAGAAAAATTGGGAGTCAGGAGATTTGGAACCTGATTCTGGTTCCGACACCACCTCACTGTGTGACTATGGCCTTCACTGTCCTTCTATGTGTAAATGTGGCCCAGTCTAGACGGGCCAAATTTCGGAAAAGCCTCTTCTGACCAAAGTATCGGAAAAAGATACACAAAATGCAGAGCGCATTTTGTGTATCTTTTTCCAATAGATCCTCGCAGTCTAGATGTACCGTCTAGTGCAGCCATCCTTATATAAGCCTGGTGGGGTAGGGAGGGACCCTCTTTTTGTTCTGTGTACACCTAGCACACTGGGGTCCTGCTACATGGCTAAGGCTCCTAGGTGCTATTGTAATGCAAATAATAAATAATAATAATAATGTAATATAAAGGTGACTCCAATTCCTTTAGTTTCCCTGCTGAAATATGTATTTCCAAAGGTGCAGCAAGAAGATGGGAGTCTAGAGCTCCGCTCATGTGCAGACTTTAGAACTACATGCTACTGTGTGGTTATTATGCAGTGGTGTGTGGGTTGTAACTCATTAAATACACCCATTGCCTGAATGAAGTTTCCATCTGTGCTTCACTGCAGTTACAACCCGTTTGATGGACCAAATGAAAATCCAGAAGCAGAGCTCCCTCTTACAGCAGGAAAATACCTCTATGTATATGGAGACATGGATGAAGATGGCTTCTATGAAGGTTTTGTTTATTTATATCTTATTATTCGTTTATGTTGATTTGAAACAATTTAACTCCCATACCATGTTCTCCATGACCAAAAGCAATTGATAAAGTCCCCCTATTTTTTTATTTATGCATCAGCAAAGCAGCTCCTTCCACTTACAGCTAATTTTATTTATAAGACTCCCTGAACCATCAGCATTTCCTATTTGACAGGATTTGTGCTGACAAGAAAGCTCAGTGAGATTTTAGTTTTTGCCTCAAAGATCCTTGACTCGCCTCAAGCTGTGAACATTTGATTCTTCTGTGTAGAATTTTCTCTTGCTAGACACTGATACAAAGTCATATTGGAACAAGGTGACAAGTAGCAGTTTGATACGTGTAGATTAACCATGCCATGAATACTGTTTTATTTTCATGCCCTTTCAGTGTGAGGTTGCTCCCTGCAACATCAACTTCATAACTTATCTTTTCCACAGGGGGCTGCCCTTCAATTTAAGCTGATGTAGTCTTGTGCAGTGCATCAGATATCAAATATCATTAGCACTCAATGGATTTTCTGAGTTGACAGCTTAAACAATACGATAAGGGTTCTTGCGACCACATCTTGCAAAGCACTTCAGTGCATACGTAACCTGGCTCATGAAAGCTAATCACCTAATAAACCATCTTGTTAGTCTTTAAAGTGCTGCATAGTCCTGTCTTTTGTTTCAGCTACACCAGACTAACACGGCTACATCTCTATTACTATGGCTCAGATAAGTAGCTTTGTTGGTTTTGTCTACACTGAAAGTCCAGGTTTATTAGAACTCAAGTTAGCAGACTTTGGGCTTGTTAACCTGTGGCTTAAGCATCTACACTTATTTGTAACTCCAGTTTGAAATGGTGGAACCCTTGGTCCCAACTGGGAGCTCCAACATCTATACTGCATAATGCAAGTCTGAGTCCAATGACCCATATCCCAGACTTCCTAGTGTCCTCCCAAAATGTGACTGCTCTAATCCTTTGTTTGTGGTGTAGCATGGGAAAATTTGACTGTCCACCAATTTGACTGACCAGAGGACAAAGAAAGTCAGCCTGTGGGATACTTTTGTTGGAATCCCAGAGCATGAGTCCAGCAGGGCTGTGTCTACACTACAAAGCAATATGGTTTGAATCAGGCTCAGACTAACCACCCTCATGGGATCCAGGGTCTGAGCCCTGAATTCATATGATTTTTTTGTAGACAGAAGGGAGGTTAGGCTTCCCCGCAGCAAGGAATGTATAAGACAACACGTGTTGACCACTTCTTAACTTGCTTCCCTAGTACCTATATTTAAGTCTGGACATGTGGTTCATGAGCATTAACAGTGATAAACCAGTTGATAAATAATTTTATGGTCTCAATATATCAACCTTGTTTGTACCTCAAATAACAATATTCGCTAGGGACAAAACAATTTATTTGGTGTCCTAAATTAACACTATAGACTTTTAATACGCAGTTTGAACTTGGAAAGACCTGCAAATGTGCGATATTTCACTAATGAAATCCCATTAGCAATTGCTGAGACATGCTTGTATACAAACACAGTTACACATGCAATCAGGCATCCCCATTGAAAAGAATCCTTGTGGTCAAGGCACTAGACTGAGACTCAGGATACCTGGTTCAATTTCTGGCTGTGCCACAGACTCCTTGTCTGATTCAGGGCATGTCATTTAGTCTCTTGATGCATTACTCACCTCTAAAATAGAGTTGATAATTATCTAGATTTTGCCTGTCTTGTCTACTTGGACTGTTAGCTTTTCTGGACAAAGATTGTCTCTTATTGTGTAATGTTCTAATACCTAGAGCCACATGACACTAATCTCAGCTGAGGCCTCGCAGTGCTATTGAAATACACATAATACATTTAAATCAACTTGACAATATGAGAGCTCAAATAATCCTGTTTGTGTTGCTTGAATCCTGGGTTTTATTAGGAACTCTGTTTCAAGTGCCTGGCTAATGATTTCCACCAATTCAGGGGAGTAACTTTGTTAAAAACATAATCAGTAAACTTGTTCTGATTAAATAATTTTGCTCCAGCCCTGAAAATTATTATGAGTGGCCTAACTGATAAGTGATTTTGAGATGCCCATGCTATGGCAGCAACAGCATCTTTAAGTTAAGTTAAGAATCTATCTTTATATCTGGGGTTGAAAAGGTTCACAAAAATATGAGGTGGAGTTAGTGTTTGATCCCATTCACTCTTTTGGTTCCTGCAGTTCAATTTTCTGGTTAGCGTTTCTTTTATCAGTGTCTCTTGAGGTGCCTTCCAAACTTGGACAGAATCAGCAGTGTAGCAGCAATTTATTTCAAGTTTAAGGGAATGGATAATAGGCTCCACTCTCTTCAGTGAAACTGAAGCAAAATGGTTGTTATGGAAGTATTTTGCGACTTATAACATTTTTTTTAATCCTTGAGATGGTGTATTTTAGTGGCTTAAAGATGGTGTATTTTTGGCTAAAAGATGCAATACATGGACACTGAAGCCATATGTTGTTAAGGAGCATCTTTCTGCTTCTTCTTCTAAGTATCTTTTCATCTTTGCCATGTTTGCAGCATTGTCTGAGACAAAACTGTGCATGTGACAGTTGAGCTTTGTTCAAAATTTAGTACAGCTTTCACTGCCATTTCTTTTAAATATTCTGTTGTGTAGGCATTTCCCGACATGTGTATTGTTTCTAAAAGAAATGCAATCCCATTTTCTTTTGTCACACAGGCACATATTACTAGATCATTGTGTACATTGCTCCACCCCTCAAGGCTTAAACTGACACATTTCCCCTCAGTATTCCCTGCACACTGTTCAATTTCCTTCTCGTACACAGTATTTAGCAGTTTTCCACCAGTGTCTGCTCTGCTAGGTGAAGTGTAGCCTGGTTGTAAGGACTCAATCATGTCAGTAAAGGTGTGTGGTGGTAACAATGCAAAAGTAGAATTTGTGGCATAAATGAACTGAGCAATCTTTTCATCTAGGTGTCTTGTTGGTGTTTGCTGGTCTTTACTACAGACCCACCGATAGTGGTTGTTTTATTTGATGATTGAAATCTTTTGCATACTATTGATATTTTGTCTTTAATATGTTTAGTTGCAAGCTGAAAGCACAACAGATGACTCTGAAGTTGTTGCAGATACAGTCTAATTTGTCACACTTAAATGGGATCCTGAAACATTCTGAATAGATCCTGATTCTGAATAGTCACTCTTCTCACTTCTTGTCACACTATTATTCAGTTAATCATTTCTATTTTTTACTTAATTCACAAGCCATGATGATTAGCTAAGACATTTTTTTTCTAGTAACATCTAACAGCAAATAGCTTGGGAATTTATTTGTTAAATCACTTATTAAAAGGCAAAGCACGAATATTGAAGAATGATGCATTGCAAAGTGAAATATAAGTTACTAACCAATTGGTCTGCATTGTTCTTTAGATATATCCACATCTTCGTCTACATAATTTTCTCCCAATAAGCAGTTTTTCTTATGATGATTCATTCTTGTAACAAGGCCCTGCATCTCCTTCTTGTATTACTTACACTTGACACATTTTCCTTTTTTATCTTAGGAATGAATTTCTTCAAAATATTGCCAGGTGAAATCTGTCTTATGGCCAGGAGCCATGATAGTTTTCTGTGTCAAAAGTGTGGGGGAATATAGGAAGTTCTGTGTGTGCTGAATGATGTGTTCTTGTTTTATTTCCAGTCCATTCCACACTACTGTTCTTTTCTATGCTGCCTCCATCCTTTTCTATGTATTGTGTGTCTGTCATTAAGACAGTGTCTTGAATAACACCTGTGCTATGCTTGGCCGAGCTCTACCACCATATAAGCACAGAACAATAACAATCCTGTGGCTTTCTTTGTAGATGTGACTTTAGTCTGTTGAGAAGCAGAAATTGAAAGCCCAGAACTTTCAAGAAGCAAGAGCTGGTAGTAAGGCTGGGCAAACTAGAGCCATTAATTTGTATGTTTAGCTTGTTTGTGATAAGATTTAATTCTGTTATTTTTAAGCAAGAGGGAAGTTAAGTATTTTATTGATTTAAAAAAAAATCACATTTAAATAAAATCCATTTTTAATTTAAAAAACTTGATTTTTATCCACCTTGCTTTGTACCAGTTTGAAAATAAAAATGAACAAAAGTAAAGCCAGCAGTTCCTTCACATATTCAAGCCAAAAGGTATTCAATCACAGTAGACTTTAAGTTCAACCATATGTTCCTTCCACCACAAACAACTTCTTCCATTATCTTCCTTACCCAAAAAGCCTGTGCAAAAATTGCACTTATATTACAGACGTGCACAGGTAGCAGTATACGTAAAGTACGTAGGCATGCTTCTTGGCAGTAACATTTAAGTATGTACTCTCCCAGCATGACTATAAGGAGTCATGTAGATGGTGAGGTACGGCTTACATGAGTAAAGACACGCCCGAAAGGTGTCTGTATGCAAGTACATACTATAAATGCTCTCTACATACCCAAGCTGTGTTTCCTTCTCTACACCACCAAAAAGAGTATTGTGTGGTGTCTGGCTGCTGCAGCCTTTCCCTATTGTTGGAAAAGTCTATAGCAGCAAGGGAAGTCTCAAGCGAAGGGAGGCAGCTGGAAAAGACTTCAGCAGTTGATCCACGTTGTTCTTAAGATATACTGACATCTTCATCCACATCATTTTCTCCTAATAAGCAGATTTCCTTATAATATTTCATTCTTGCAACTAGGCCCTGTGTTGAAACAGAATCTGGACACCATGTAAGAAGCAAGCAGGAAGGTTTATTACACACAGCGTTGGTGGAGTGTCACTTTGCTTGTTAGGCATGGTGAATACTGCCCAACAATAGGTTACAATGGATTATATAAGATGCTGATGGGCAGATAAAGTGATGGGGGGAGGAAGGTGAAGATCCCAGATCCCCTGGATAGGTACTAACCATGAGGCAAAATGAGGGCAATAATCTAAAGGTTACATAGTGTTTTCCTACCACAGCTTGCAGAATACCTTATATATAGTTAAACAAGTACTTAACACATAATTGACAATTGATGTCTGCTTTGTTTAAGTGGTGATGTGTCCGTCAGCATCAGGATGGCATCTTTGCAGGGATGTGATCCATTGGTGTTATTCCTGGGGAATTAAAGCAGAAGGCAGTAAAGGTACATGACAATTGTGTATTTGTTCCTAGCACCATTGAATGTGATAGTGCTATGTCCTGTCTCTCATCCATAGGGCCTTTTCCCTGGAATGTAATTGTCTGGGTAGTTATCTCTAGGCTGATCTTCCTCCAATGGGCTAAGAAGGGGGGGCACGGATAACCTTCTACTCAGCTGTGCCTTTGACATATATGTTTGTAGGCCTGTTCCAGACTTAAAAATAGGGGTTCTTAACAGAATATCATAGCCTGCCTCAGAAATGTTTACCCTACACTGAGATTCTCATGGACTTCAGTGACAGTAACGGTGGGTCCTGTGGCACTTTAAAGATTGTCAGATGCACAAATAAATCTGTTAAAGTGGTTTTTACCCACAAAAGCTTATGCCCAAATAAATCTGCCAGTCTTTAAAGTGCCACAGGACTTATCATTTTTACAGATAGAGACTAACACTACTACCCCACTGAGACTTCAGTGAAAGTGATTAGCTCATGGTTTAATTGTGTAACAGTAATGGAATCTTTGTAATATGAAGGACGTGGCTATGAACCTTTGAGGGGAGGTAGGGAGAGGCTGCCTGCTTTAGTGTGCAGATTCCAGGCTGTGTGTATTTGGTAAATGCATATTAGCAGTATTCTACTGAGTTTTATAGCCACTTGGATCTGTCAGCTGGATCAGTAAGTCGGCAGAGCAAAACAGTTATGGCCACGGAGGTCTTTGTCTTACAAAATAATCTCTGTAGTAAGAGACACAAAAGTCACCCTTCAAGCTAGTCCTTTGATCCCTATCTGAGGAAGCAGACTTTCCCAGTCAGCCTCTTAACATGCTTTTTCAGAACACTTTGCCAGGGAAGGAGGAAGTCTGAGCTGCAGTTAACCTCTGGTTCACCAGGGACCTCTCAATGCCTTGTAACCCCTTACAATGACATGAAGTGTTTATTATTATGTAATGTACTTCTTCAGCCCAAGATGACCAAAGGAGAGAGTCATCTAGAAGACTGCTTGTTTGGTAGTGTGAGAGGAGTGTTCTTTTGTAAATTATATTTGGTTGTTCTTTTTCACCAGGTGAACTTCTAGATGGACAAAGAGGACTGGTCCCTTCAAACTTTGTGGATTTTGTTCAAGATAACGAGTCCTGTTTGTTGAGCACCTTAGGCAGCAAGCAGGATCAGAATTTTATCAACCATTCAGGTTATGCTTTGGATGGAGATAGTCTACTGGAGATCAATCCACCAAGTCACATAGAGTCCAGTGTAATCAGCAATGGCACAGGGACTCTTGATATGAACATTGATGAAATTGGAGAAGACGTTGCGCCCTATCCTAGAAAAATAACCCTTATTAAGCAACTAGCCAAAAGTGTTATTGTGGGCTGGGAGCCACCAGTCGTGCCTCCTTGATGGGGAACGATTAACAGTTACAACATCCTGGTTGACAAAGAAATACGCATGAATGTGTCCTTGGGAAGCAGAACTAAAGCTCTTATAGAAAAACTTAACATTGCTACTTGCACATACCGAATATCGATTCAGAGCATTACAAGCAGAGGTACTTCAGATGAGCTGCACTTTGTTAGTTGGGAAGGATGTCATTGTGGCACCTTCACATCTTAAGGTGGATAACATAACCCAGATTTCTGCTGAGCTGTCCTGGCTTCCTACCAATAGCAATTACAGTCATGTGATCTTTCTGAATGAAGAAGAGTTTGACATTGTCAAGGCTGCTAGCTATAGGTACCAGTTTTTTAATTTGAAGCCCAGTATAGCCTACAAGGTGAAGGTCATGGCAAAGCCCCATCAGATGCCCTGGCAGCTTCCTCTGGAGCAACGGGGGGAAAAGGAAGCATTTGTGGAATTTTCTACATTGCCAGCAGGTTTGATATTTTACTGTCCTTTAACTTTGCAATTGCTCTAGAAATGGCAGGTGCACCAAGACTAGTCAAAAAAAAGTCCTCCAGTGTCTAAGTTCTGAATCAGCCTCATGCAAAAAAAATGGTAATGGAAAGCATTCCTTCTCAGTGTTGCATAATTAGTGGTATAGACCATGAACTTGCATTTGAAGCTGCCTGTGTAGCTTCAGTTGCAGCAACAAGGCCTTTGTTGTTTGAAATGTGTGATGGTACACACAGTGTTCTGACTCAACCCACTGAAAAGTCAGGAGGTTTTTGTTGTTAATGCTCTAAAGCTGGACTGACTCCATTGAACGTAATGGGTTTTAACTAATCTTTGATTTTAGAAAATGAGACGTTTATGAAGCAAATGTGTCACACATTTTAAGTAACATATAAAAGCTGAGGTGGTTGCAACAAAGGTCTTGAACCATCACATCTCAAAATGTGATAATCACCTTTATAATGAAATTTCTATTATGGATTATATATACTTCGCTGCCAAGGGTGGTAAAGCAGTGTAAATGGACTATGCCAGGTTGCATAATCCTGCAGTTATCTGTGCCAGGTCTTCTGTGAGAGATCAGAGGAGAAGTAAACACTACCTGATAAAGAGATCACATTTTTTTTTAATGGATCATAGAATCCTAGGGCTGGAA